TGGAGAAAAAACAGAAAATTAAAATATAAAGCCTTTTACACCTGCTTTTGTAAAGCGCGCTGTAAAAAGAACTGAAGCCATGTTCAATTAAAACAGGGCACATCATCATCCCTACCAAATGCCATAATATGCAAAAAAATTCAGCTTCAACACAACACTTTCATGGCACGATATCTTGCTCATTTCTTGATGAAATTCAAAAGTCCCAACACCAAAGTTCAAGATAGAAATTAGTAGAACATGATAGGATCAATTTTTTTATAAAATGATGCCTTGATGAGTGAAAAAATTGCGCGTGAAGAATGCTACATGGATACTTTTTTTTTATTTTCACATTACATCAAACCGTTTTCAAACCTAATTTTCTCCCTCAATTTTCCACTAATTTAAACGATCCAAAAATAAAAATTGAGCAGAAAAATGAAAGGATTATGAATATGCTCTTAGATTTTGCAAAAAAAATTGTGAATTTAAATAACACGCGAAGTTGTAGTAAGAGAGAGAAAAATGGATCATATACCTTGTAATGAATTTGATGATGTTGTAGCTCAAACAAAGAGCTAGTAATAGAGAGAAGATTGCTTGAATGATGCAGAGATGATAAAATGGAGAGAGATGTGAAGAAATTATAAAAAATGGAGAAAGTAAGCTTTGACAATAATGAAGAAAGTTTGAAATTCAGAGAGAGAGAGAGAGAGAGAGAGAGAGAGAGAGAGAGAGAGAGAGAGAGAGAGAGAGAGAGAGAGAGAGAGAGAGAGAGAGAGAGAGAGAGAGAGAGAGAGAGAGAGAGAGAGAGAGAGAGAGAGAGAGAGAGAGAGAGAGAGAGAGAGAGAGAGAGAGAGGAGAGTGCTTGTTTTTCGTGAAAATGAGAGAGAAGAGCTTGCTTGCTTCTGATTTGTAATCTTCCAACCAACCCTTTGATTGTTGAATGCATAGGTTTTATATAGAGTGTGGAAAGAGAGTAAGGAAAAATAAGAAAATGAGGAAAATGAGAGTATGTTACATTTTTGAGTGAGTGAGAGTGCAAATCACGTGCCTTTGGGTAAGTGAATAAGGGTTGGAGTGTGAGCTAGCAAAGGGAGTTTGTATTGGCACAAAAAATTTCATGCATTTTCATGCAACTTTGCTATTTCAAGATCACCTCTTTACCTCCTTATATCTCTCTCCACAATGCATGAAAATGTGACAAACTTTGAATAAAAAATGTAGAGGACACTTCATACTCCAACTTTCATGTTCAAATTTTTTCAAAATGAAGCTTGAATCAATGAGATATTTGGCCATGAACACGTGCTTATAAACTGTTTGATAAAATGCCTTGCCTGCCTGGGCTTGCTGCGCGCCCGACTGGCCTTGCTGGGCAGAAAATTTAGCATGCGTAGTGCCTACTTCTCACAATTATATTTCAAAACGTAGGAAGAATTTGGAGAAACTTTCTGAAGCAAAGTTGTTCCTCACATTTAGGGATTGAACTTTGATGTTGGACATTTTTCAAAATAATAAATATTTCTCATAGAAAAGTGGTGATGAATGCGCGCCCACAACATGTTTGATGAAATGCCTTGCCTGCCTGGGCTTGCTGCACGCGTGTCTTGCCTTGTGCTGGGCAAAAATTTAGTTTTCAGCTCAAAATCCTAATCACCATATCTTTCTCCACACTCAACCATTTGAGATGATTCTTGAATGAAAAATGAAGCGAAAACTTCAATCTACAACTTTCATGTTGCCAACATTTTGATTTGAGTCCAAATGGTCATTCAAAAATGGACATGAAGAAATCAAATTTTTGTATTTTTAACCAAAATTTCACTAAGTGTCAAAATCTTTCAAGCTTCATAACTTTTTTCCTTTCATTTTTTGGACTTGTGGTCACTCCTATAAAGTTGGAGAATTTTTCACCCTCTTTCTAGGCATATAAAGTTTGCACATTTTCAATAAAAATTGAGAAAGTTGTAGCCAATCAAAATCAAGCATAGTGTATTTAATATTTTCATGTGACTAAAAAGCCCTTCAATGACAAAAATAAAAATAAAAACCTGAAAGTATAAAAAATAACTCAATTTAAAATATTTTTTTTGAATAAAAAAATAAAGACTTAAAATGACTGAAAACGATAAAAAACAGACAAAAATTTATCCAAAAAAATAAAATGAACACATTAAAATAAATTAGATGTCACAAAGATTAAATAAAAAATATTCAAAAAGTCAAAATCGGAATAAAATGATAATAAAAATATTAGGTTGAACAGACGTTTACGGTTAAAAACGAGACTTCAAACTGTACCATAAAAATGAAGCGAGCATACCGTCATAATCTACGTGAAATGCAGATTCATAAAATGATCGGTAAAAGGTGAAAACTTGAAATATTTTTCTCGCTAATTTTTTGCACAGTGTCAAATCGCTTTTAACAATCTGTCTATAAAACCAAAATATTTTTATTATCAACATATAAACAACTTGGAGCAATGCAAGAAAATAGTAAAGAGATAAAAATGCATGAAGTGAAATGTCGGGTATTTTTCAACTACAAAATGATGCAAATGTCAATTTAAACTGACTTTTGGTCAACTTAAACACGATTAAATGATGCAAATGTGATGAACGAAGCTATTTACTAATAATTATAACCAAATGACAAAATATGATATGAAAGTGCGACTGGAAAAAATTAGGGGAGAAATTTAGGGTACAACAATACCCATGCATTTTCATTTCCATACATGTACATACATTTGCATATCATAAACTTCATATCCACTTTCTACCTTATCCAATCCATGCTAGTTGATTCCCGAGACTCGCAAAAGAACTCAAAGAAAGTCTCAAGAAGGAACTAAAAAAAACCATGGAGAAACTCAAGAGATACAAGTCCTATTGGAGAGAGAAGGCAACCCTTTTCCATGACAACTACAGGCCTACACAACGCTTGAGATGCCTCAATCATGGGTGATTCCCCCACATTAAACAACAATTGCCCTATCAGCATAATAAAATGCCCATCAGAAGAAAAGACAAGGGTCACCCCCTACTTTGACAAGAAAAGAACATCTTGGAGTGCCTCCTAAAGTCATTGTATCAACAAGGAATTTCATCCCTAGGATCATTAGACTTTTATCATTTCCAAATTGTAATTGCTTTGTTGCTAAGTGTTATTTGTTGTAAACTTTGTATTTTCTCAAAACTGTAGATAAATTATTTACTAAAAATGATAAGGCTGCAGGAAATTTTTCTCAAAAAAGGAAGGCAAAGGAACAACCTAAAGAGTCTACTTGCTTGTTGTAAGAAGGTTGGACATATGAAGAAGAAATGTTCCAAATACGCCACATGGCGTGAAAAGAAGAGTAATTTTCTCACTTTTATTTGTTTTAAAATTAATTTATTTTACGTACCTAAGGATACTTGGTGGATAGATTTTTGTGCTACTACTCACAAAATTATGTCCATGCATGGTTGTTTGTGGAGCCATCCATCAAATGATGTTGAAAGATTCATCTATGTGGGCAACGACAATAAAGTTGTAATAGTGATAACACTGAAACACACTACACATTTAACTCAACTTGCACATGTTTTATTATCATTTTACTCTAATTTATTGTGTTATGCTGATATTTTGTCTGTGTACTTAATCATATAAGAGTCATTGTACGAAGAAACGAGACAAATCAAACAAAAAACGGAGGAAAAAGCATAATTTACACCCACAACAGTCACCATGGCGTTCGCCACAAAGGTGGCTGTAACGTGGCAAGTGAATGACACATTCAAAAAGCCAAGAGAACAAGTAAAAAGAAGAAATGAATTTTTGGCGTTTGCCACAGGTGAAAGGCGTTCGCCACCCCTTATAAAAGCGCAAAAATGCCAACTACCTTGGCATGTTCTCCCACTTGCTCCAATTTTTCCTCACACGAACCCAACTCATTTGACTTCATTTTTTAGGGTTTTAGAACACGATAAATATGGGTTTGAAGTCATTTTAAAGGTATCCAAACTTAGTACAATATAAGCCATATACTTTTGTCATACCTCAATTTTGTCCCAAAGTCATTTGTTCATCGCATTTGCATCATTATCCGGTCATTCATGCATTTAGGTTGAGCAAAAGTCAACTTAAATCAACATTTGCATTGTCCAGAGTTAAAAAAAACCCTGATATCTCACTTCATGCATTTTCATCTCTTTAACCGCTTCATGCATTGCATAAGTTGTTTATATGTCAATAATATTGATATTTTAGTTCTACAAACAGACTATTAAAAGCGTTTCAGCATTGTACAAAAAATTAGCAAGCAAATTATTTTGAGTTTTCACCTTTATCTGACCGTTTTATGAATTTGCGTTTCACGTAGATCATGTCGGTGTGTTCCCTTTATTTTTTCGGTACAATTTACAGTCTCTTTCTCAACTGTCACCGTCTATGCAGTCGGGTATTTTTATTCTCATTTTATTTCGATTTTGATTATTTGTAATTTTTTTTAATTACCTTTCTGATTCGTAGGTTATTTTAATGTATTATTTTTTCTTCAATTAATTAAGTATCCATTTTTAATAGTTTTTAATTATTTTAGGTATTTTTTTTTATTAAAAAAAAATTAAAACAAAAATAATTTTGAGTGTATCTATTTGTTTTTCGTTCTTTTAAGTTTTTAACTTGATCTTTATCTGAAAGGAATTTTTTAGTTCTTAAATAAAATTTCTAAACCCTAGTTGTCTTGTTATATAAGTGGGTGACTAGAGAAATAGAAAATAGGAGAGATAAGGGTTGTTTGGAAAAACGAAAATTGAGATTGGAGTACTAGGCATTATTAAAACCCCATCCAAACAGAGCCTTGGTCTCATTGATCTCATTCCTCCATTCTTCTTCGATTTCCCTGACTTCAACCAGAACCCATCCAAGAAAAACTCATCTTCATCTTCCTTTCCCTCGATACATCCTCACTCTTCCGCTCCAACTTCCTTCAACAACAGCCATCACCTTCCACGGCTGATACCTCCATGCTCTCGCCGTCATCTTCTCCTCAACCTTCCGTGAAACCGTCGGTCCTTCACCCTTCAACAAATCGTCCCGCTTCATCCACGACCCTTCCTTTCCCCTGTTCTTCTTCCCATGTATTCACACGCCTGCTACCCAGCCTCCATCACCAACGCAACTTCGACCACCAAACAGTTCAACACCAATCTACTCCTTCCGTCATTCTTCAATTTCACGAGCCACATAACTACAAGCTCAACCGTCCAAACTCATCCATGCAACACCACCAAACAACAACATTAACAACTGCTACCCCACTTTGTTTTCAATTTTTCTTCTGATCTCATTGGAAATGTTTGAAAGAGAAGAGAGTATTTGTTTAACTTACTGATTATGGTTTATTATTCTTGGTGTGTTTTTTTATTTTTAATCAATTATTGTCTTTTTAAATTTGGTTTCAGTTATAGCTCATTAGAACAAGGTCATATTTTTCTTGGGTCAAATTATTAATCTCGTCATCCATATGCTTATTTACACCTCTTTTATTTTATTTTGATTTTGTAATAATGTAAATAACAATTTTGTATAATAGAGTTGCTATTTTATTGTGATGTGATTTTGGAGTTCAAATTCAATTTAATTTTCGAATGCACATATACACGCATATATTTTTGCCTGACCTCTAATAGAGTTGATTCTTACATTAATCTATTTTAAGTTTGTTTAACAAAGTGAAATATTTAATGGTTTTCGATTCATTTCATTCCGGTCGCCTAATTTACTCTTAGGCCCTATCTAAGACTTTGGATATTTTTCTGTTATCTTGGTTCTGTCTTATTGTGTGACTTTTTATCTGATGTAAGGATTCTTATCCAATATCTGTAAAATCATCTGATGCTTTGAATTTTATCTGACACCTTGAATTTATCTGATCCACTTTCTGTTTGTGATTTATTTTCACTTGATACTTGATATACTCTTGATTTATTCTCTGTTTGCGGCTTTCATCCAAAGGATGAAAATTCTATGTGATTTTATTATGTCAAACTGTTATATCTCAAATTTTATCCTGAATTTTTTCATTCGCATTACTTATATCTATATTAATTTTTGTTCGCATATATGGTATTTTTTGCGCATTTTTGTATTTTATTTCTGATTTAAAAATTTTATCTAAATTTATTTTCTTTTTTACTTTTAAACAATTAATATTTAAATTTTATTACTGACATTTATAAAATATGTAAAAAAATATGTGTTTTTATTTAATTTAATTAAGTTTTAGTTTAGATTTAATTTTAAATTTATAAAAAAAAATTGTTGTTTCATTTTGATTTAGAGAGTTTTCTAATTAAGAAGAAAAATATATAGGAGGTCTTTTGTGGTCTTTTCACAAGACCTATTTGGGTTTATGGATAAGGTTCTGTTGGTGATGTGGTTAGCAGAAAAAATCTCATTCCTCATCACCGATAACATCCGCCTAACACAAACCCACTCTTCCGTTCCTCACCTGTAACCTGTTTATCGTGGGAATTGGTAAACAACCGCTGATCTTCCAAAAGGTTACTTATTTGGTGACTCGCAGGATCGATCAGATTGATTCTAAGACATGGTTGATTTTGGGGTTTTTGACTAAGTTTGATAATGATTAAATGACAAGAAAATAAAGAAGCTTTATGTAAATTGCATGAAGAAGAAAACTTGATAGAATAAAGAAAGGCTTGAAATGAAGGCTTCGACTGGAAAAGTAAATGAAGAGCAATAAAGTTCTGGAAAATAAATGACTTTGATTAATTAAAGTGGTGTTTCACACATACATTCTCAACAATTCTTTCGCTCACACTGGGTACTTGAATCTATATGAGTGACTTGTATATAATTGTGAACACACGCGAAAAACTGCGTGAACTACTAATATTTATACTAAACACATCCCAAGTAACCGTCGGGCAGTTACGCTGCTTCGAGATGACTCCACTTGGCACGCTCACAGCATTCGACGCTCCAGATCTTGGCACGTTGCACTTGGTAACCGCTGGGAACCGTTTTCCCTCCAAACGTTTGAATCTCAAACCGTTCAACTCTGAGTATCGAACTCCTTTGTCGAGAAGCACCTTCGACGTCGAAGGCAACATGATTCTCCCTTAGAAGAAATTCTCTAAGTACATTGCCATCTTCTGATGAGCATTTCGACAGAACCAGCTGGTCGAAACCATCTTTCATGCTTTAATGGCTTATATTAATAAAACAAGGGTGTCGAATTTAGGAGCCAACAAATTGCCCCCTAAGAATGCCTTATTTCGACGCTGAAAAGAAAAAGACATTCTTTGAGATTCCATTCGACACCTGTCCTTCATTCTTAGCCACAAATTAAACTGTGCGCTTTTTGTCTTCTACCAACCACTGACAATCCCAAGAAAAAGCCATCATTCCATCTGTACCTAAGACGTCACCTCAGTACGGCGTTTAGCGTGCCCAATGTCCTTTCACAAATCGTCATCATGACAATTTCCCAAAAACGAGGGCGCACGCTGCACCTTTTCGTTTCTGCAGAACGACTATGTCAGCGAGGGAGCGCCACGTGTCCCACTATCTTCTGCAACATTAAATGGCCTCGAATTTGGGGATTTCCCAACCACTATAAATAGCGCTAGGTACCCATTGTGGGACTTTTTCACACTACCTGCATTCAAAACCTCATTGCTGAACACAAAATCTCTGCAAACTTGCAAAAACTTTGTTCTTCACTTCACCTTCAACCTTAACTCAACAATGGCTTCAGGTTCCTCTAACGCTCCTAGTTCTAACATTCCTTCCAGAAATGCTAAACCCAAAATCTCCTCAACTGTTCCCACAGTTACCCCTACAGGCCAACGAAGGGTTCCTGAACCCCTAGAAACTGCTGAGCGTGAAGCTTATCCACACCAACTAATGATTCCGGTTGGATACTTCAACCAAATCTTCGCCATGTCTGGCGCGTTATCCACATGCATTGATGAATCCATGAAGATCAAGAACTTCTTTCCAGTGCTTGAGGCGCTCAAACCTGTTGGGTGCTCTAAGAAAGCTGCAGATGACAACGAAGATCCCGCTAAGGAGAAGATAGATCTTCGCTTCTTCAATAGGGGTGTTAGGGCTTTTAGGTCTAGCCCTAGCCTCACACCTGACTACAGCGCTTGGCTAGAGAAAATGGAAAAAAGCCAGGCTTCGATCTGGAAGGACCCGGGGATATACGACCTAGTCATGCTGTCGAAGACGGGTCTCAACTACTCCCCTGAGATGCTGATAGCCTCCTTGCTTTTCTGGGATTACACTCATTTCACTTTCCACCTTCCTTGTGGAATGCTAACACCCACGCTTTTCGACGTGGCTGCCATCACCGGCCTTCGACCCACTGGGGATTATTTCGACCCAGAGGAAATGTCGGAGGATCAGATTGGATTCTCAGCTACGAAACCCACCTATACCACCTATATCAACCATTACCATGATAGGTCGACAGCAACTGTGACGGATGTAGAGAATATTGCGTTTCTAGCCCTTTGGCTGTCACGCTTTGTGTTCTGTACAAAGTCTTTACAGGTGACAAAGAAGATGGTCACCCTCGCCACCCAGCTTCACCATGGCCAAAATATTTGTTTGGCAGAATTAATCTTGGCGAATCTGTACGAGTCGATCAGCAGCGGAGCGACTCTGTTAAAGGTCATCGAAAATAGAGCCAGTCTGTTGCTTGCAGGACCATTTTGGCTACTTCAACTGTGGCTCAATGCCACTTTCGAGTCTTTCTTACCTCAGAAAACTCAAATAAATGATCAAGCTCCTGAGGTAGCAAATAGGCGTATCGAAGGCACCAGATTAGCTCTACTGACCCCGACTGAAGATGGGCTGGAGCTTCAACAGACTTTTACAAACTTCGTCTTGATGTTTGCAAAAAGAAAAGAATTCACTTCGACCATGGCTCCTTTCGCTCGACGAAAGGTTGGTCCAGAATGGTTCACCAGGCCCCATCCTAAGTCGTCAGGTGACCCTCATGTCGAAGAACACACAATAATGTGGGAAGCATTTCTCACACCTAGAATAATGCCCCTGCGCTTCAAGAGCTCCAAGACTCACCTGAGCTTGATCGCTTACCAACCAAACTTGGTCTCTCGACAGTTTGGTATCATTCAATCACTCCCTTCTCCTATTTTTCCTAAGGAGAAGTCCATGTTATATTTTTGCAACGACTATACTGAAGATGCTGCCACCAAGCATATTGGCAGGTATGCAGGTCGAACAGTACTTTCACTGTTCGATTATCAACTTAACTTCCTCTGTTCACCATCCTTCGAAGACTGGTGGAAGAGTTACTATGCTGAAGAGTTCTTCGACGAGAAAGACTTTGTGGACGAACTTCAGAAGTCTTTCGTTCTAGTCCTTGACAAAATAAAGAAATGTAAGTTCACCCTTCAAATTATTTTGTCTTTCCATTTCGACTGGTAACTTGTTAATTATAACTTGTCTTCTTTCAGTCGTTCGAAAGCCTGCAGCAAAGAAAGCCGCAGAAGGCCAACAGGGAGGAGGTCCCTTGACAAAACCTCCAGCACCGACGAAAACTACAGCAAGCCATCAGGGGGAAGGTCCTTCGATAAAATCCTCAGCACCGGTAACCCAACTCTTATTATTTCCTTCTGGTTTTAACATTCTGATTTTCGATGTAGCGTTCTAAATCGAACTCCAATTGGTTTTCAGGCACCTTCACCCAAGAAACGACCTACACTGACGGTCGAATCTGGGAGTGACGAAGAAGACGACTCTCCCCCCGCTCCTCTAAAACGGAGAAAACTGAAGAAAAATGCTCCTTCTCCTGAGACTCGACCCACAATCAGAATAAAGGTTGCAGGGAGAAAACCCAGGCCACCTCCAGTGATTATCGAAGAGCCAACGGAGGAGGAGCTAAATGTTTTGCTCAATAAACCCGTCGAAAGTGATAATTCCAGCCTTGGGGCTGAAGTTCCTCTGCAGGTAGTTTCTCTGACCATTTTTTAACACAGGTGTCGATACTCACGTTCGATTATGTCTCTTCCTAAACTAGAAGATTCTTCCTCTTCTATTTTCAGGAAACCACTGAAAGTTCAGCACCAAAGACTTCTGAAACACCAGACTCTGCTGAACACAGTAGACCACAAGAGAAGGAGTCGGCGAACGATGAAGCCAACGCCGAAACAGAAGAACAACAACCAAAGGAGATTCAAGTGGTTGATCTGTCAGAGGAACAACATGACAAAGGGGATCACGCTGATGCTGGCACTGCTGAACTTCAGGTCGAAGATAGTCATGTCGATGCAAACGCTACTCAACA